TGATCCACAGAGGATGAGACAGATCTGTCAGGGATGTACCAAACAGCCTCTTTCACTGTGAGATGTGACCCGGCTCAATGGGACAGATGAGCAGGACAGAGGGATGGGGAAGGGGACATTGACTATTGGCCCCTTGCCCCTGGGTTTGTCAGGTTGGAATTGTAGTATTGGGGGCGGGGGTAAGAGAGAGCCTGGGAGAGGCCAGAGGCCAAGTAGGCAACCAGAGGAAGAGATGCCGAGGAAAAATGACCCCCTGGAGAGAGGTGTAGAGTGAGCAGGATCAGGGAGTAAAGAGGCTGGGGAGAGAAATTAGACGTGGGAAGAGGAACAAAGTAGGAGGGTGGTGGGTGCAGCAATTTAGGGGGGTGGTAGACTAATGCCTAAGATCCTCTTGGGTCTTGCAAAGCCTCTCCTGTCCATCTGTGAGAAACTCACCAAGCTGCCTTCAGTGTCCAGGAAATTGCCTGGGACCAGAAGCAACCTCTTTTGTCCTGTAGCTAAACAGGATGTTCCAGGATTAGGCCACAGAGACATCTCCATGGCCAAGGCACCAGCATCCTCTCTTGCAAATTAACCTACTCCTGTGGCAGCTGAACCTGAAAGGGTCTCCTCAATGGCAACCAGGATCCAGGCTGGTCCCTGGGCCCTTCCCTATCTTGGTTAAATCAGAACACAAGGTTTCCAAGTTGTTAAGGCTGAGTCAGAAGAGGAGGAGCAGAAACAGGGCTGGGTCATGATCATATCATGGTCACAATGTGTGCAGGACACAGAAGGTAAGTGCATGAAATGAAAGAGGAATGGCCACAAGGCCAGGTTATGGGGTTGACAGAGGAGGGGATATCAAATTAAGGAGTCAGAGTCTTAGACAAACTTCAGGTGCACACTATTGACAGTTTTCTGTTCCCACCACACCGGACACCTACGGCCCATAAACAAGCCTGAAAGCTCGTTCCTGGGTGCAGGTAGAGCAGAACCTCCTAGGTGTTCAGTGACAAACATGAAAGATAATGTAAATTCTATGTGCCCACATGTGTAAAAGAATAAATTGTGTGTGTGTGTGTGTGTGTGTGTGTGTGATCTGTGTTTAAAGGCACAAAATCTAATATCTGTTGTTCTTTCTGGGGAGGGAAACAGGAATCATAAAGGCCAGGGGTAGGTGAACTTAACTCTTTACCTTATATTTTCTGTGCTTATAAAAGGAAACTTGGCTAGGCCCAGTGGCTCAGACCTGTAATCCCAGCACTCTGGGAGGCTGAGGAAGGAGGATCTCTTGAGCTGAGGAATTTTAGATCAGCCCGAGCAAGAGCAGGACCCATCTCTACTAAAAATAGAAAAATTAGCTTGATGTTGTGATGGGTGCCTATAGTCCCATCTACTTGGGAGGCTGAGGCAGGAAGTTGCTTGAACCCAAGGATTCTAGGGCTGTGAGCTAGGCTGATGACATGACATCTAGCCTGGGGTAACAGACTGAGCTGGTTACATTTCTGTCCCCCACCCAAAGGAAACAAATTAAAACTATACATCAGAGAATTCCTATAGATTAATCGTTCTCAAAACTTATTAGAAATTCAAATTCGCAGACTCTATCTCAGGCTTACTGATCTGAATCTCTGGAGCTGGGGCCAAACGTCTGTGTTTTAATAAGCCTTCCATAGGTTTTGATGCACGTTCAAGTCTGAAAGCACTGTTCTAGGTCAGTGGTTCTAGGACTTAAAAAGTCTTACATATTCAAATTCCAGTGCCCAGGCTCTACCCTGACCAAGTAAATCAGAATGGCTGGGGGTGGGCCCAGTGTCAGCAGTTCTTCAAGCTCCCCAGGTGACTCTAACATGCAGCCCAGCAGAAGCAGCACTGGTTTAGCATGCCTTCTTCCACCTCTTCTCAGCCTCAAACCTTGCTCACCTGTATAGATGTGATAACCTGGAGATTGTTTCTCAGAAATCTTCCACAATGGCCTCTGGCTCCACAGTTTCTCCGCTCACTGATTTGAAGACAGTCCATGGCCAAAAGACAAGGCCCAGAGGCTGAGATGAGCAGGAGCTTGACTCTGATGAAAGCCAGAGCCAAGGGGCTCTGCAGATGGTAAAGAAACAGAAATCCAGATTGGCTTTCGGCAGGTCTTCCCACATCTGTTTCCCCAGCCTTAGTGCTAAGACTGGGTAGAAGGCTGCCCCAGAACCGGGTCCAGCCTGGTGTTGGGATCCTATTTCAGCCTCTCTGGGGTGATTGAAACTCCCCACATCTTTCCTTTCTCTATAAGGAAGAGGAAGATCAATAAGTCAAGGACAGAATGGCAACCTGCAGAGAAGTTTTAGCGAAAGGAGGGACCTCAAAGGGAAATGGATGGAGTGAGGAAATCCCTCTTCCCTGGTTTCTCTCTTGTCTCTCTGTACTTCCTTCCGTTATACACACATTCCCTGCTATTACAGTCCCAGGGAATACTGATGCTGCTGGTCCAGGGACTGTACGTTGAAAACCACTGCTCTACCGGGGGTCCCTCACCACCTCCCACCTCATGTCACCCTTCTTTAGACCAGGGAGGTTTTTAGGCCATTAAAAAATTATTCCTTTAGTTTAATTAAGTCCTATTTATGTTACTACAGTATTTGCCTTGGGGGTCTTAGTCATAAATTCTTTGCCTAGGCCAATGTCCAGAAGAGTTTTTCCTACATTTTCTTCTAGCATTTTTACGGCTTCAGATCTTACATTTAACAAAGGAAATATAGACTAAATAGATGATTCACGGAATGGGTGAAAATATTCACAAAGTATATCTCCGACAAAAGACTAATATCCAGAGTCTACAAGGAACTCAAACAAGTCAGCAAGAAAAGAAAAAAGACCCCATTAAAAAGTGGGCGAAAGACAGGAATTTTTTTTTCAAAGGAAGATATATAAATGGCCAAGAAACATATGAGAAAATGCTTAACATCACTAGTCATTAGAGAAATGTAAGCTAAATTCACAATGACATACCTCCCCCCCCGCCCCCGTCAGAATGGCCCTTATTAAAAACCAACAGCTGTTGATGCAGATGGGGTGAAAAGGAAACATGTATACACTGTTGGTGGGAATGTAAATTAATACAATGTCTATGGAAAACAGTACAGAGCTTCCTCGAAGAACCAAAAGCAGACCTAGCATTTGATACAGCAATCCCACTACTGAGCATCTCCCCAAAGGAAAGGACGTCATAATATCACAAAAGACCCCTGTACCCCTGAACACATGTCACAGCACAATTCACCATTGCAAAGATATGGAATCAATCTAAGCACCAATCAACTGATGAATGGATAAGGAAAACACGGGACATATGTACAATGGAGTACTACATAGCCATAAAAATAATGAAATCATGTCTTTTGCAGCAAGTTGGACAGAAGTTGAAGCCATTACTGTAAGTGAACTATCGCAGGCATGGAAAGTCAAATGCTGCATATTCTCACTGACGCAGGGGAGCACCACCATGGGTATATATGGTCACACAAAGTGGATAGTGGACATTAGAAACTAAGAGGGGGGAGCTTAAGAGAGAGGTGAGGGGTCAAAAATTACCTATCAGGTACAATGTTCACTATTCAAGCAATGGGTACATTAGTAGCCCTGATTTCACCACTCTACAATTCACCTACGTATTATAACAAAACTCACTTCTACTCCTATAGCTATCAAATTCTTTTAAGGTTACCATACTGTGATAACTTACTTAATTGTCTGTGATTCTCGCTAAGCTGTGAGCTCTTTAAGAATGATACCTGCCTCTGCGGGGCACCACTTTATCCCTAGCACCCGACACAGTGCCTGGCACACAGTGGGTACTAAATAAATACTTGTAAAATGAACATGCATATTATCGTTGCATGTCCCTCTGTGGCATGGCTACCTAGAAAGCTAGAGCAGAAATATGAGGCTGGTTACGTTTCGCAAGTACCTTAGACAGAATCAAGGAAGAGGCGGGCTTCACGTGCCTCTGTTCTCTTTGGAAACTGATTCATTAGCAAAGCACTACAAATAGCTGGGCACACGCAGACCCCTATTTGCTTCTTCAGAGGCAGAGTTGAGTGATGATCAGACTAAGGCCACCTTGTCTAAATTTTATGGACTAGAAAACTGAGTTGCAAGGGCCAAGGGACGTTTTCACATGTATGACTTCCCAATGGCCCTGTGCAGCAGTGCTGTGGGGAAGGTCAGGAGTGCCTTCATTTTACTGAAGTCACAGTGCAGTGGTAGAGTAGGTGTTAGTAGCTGTGGGGAGTGTCACACACAGCATCTTTCATCAGACATTTCCACTGTGCCAGACACCCTGACGTTTTTCACCTGAGCTCATGTTCCTCCTGTGATCACAACTGTTCAGTGTTCTCATTTGGCAGAGTGGGAACCGAGAATTAGAAAGGTGTAGTGAGCTGCCTGTGCCACAAGTAGAGAACTGGGATCTGAACTCGCCCTGTGTTTGACTATTGCACAGCACAGGAGAGGGGGATCAGAAAGGGAAGTCCAAAGCCCAGCCAACAGACCTGTATCCTCCTTGCTGGAGGTTCTTGGGGTAAAATGCTCTGGATTTGTTGGCCTGGGAACTGGGGAACGGTGAGAGCAGAGGGACAGTGAGCAGTCAGAGGTGGAGGAGGCAGGGGGCGCCAAAGAGAAGCTCCTGCCTCTTAGTAAGTACGGCAGCTAGAAGGCTTTGAGGAACAGGACTCAATGTTCCGGTTTAATCCTTCCATTTGCAATCTTGAAAAAAAATAAAAAAGGCTGACTGCTGACCACAAGATCTCTATGCTCTGCCACAACCCCCACATACACCCCATCCTTCAATTGCTCCACAATTTCTGGCAACACCTCTTTGCCCCAAGTCAACTCCACCCAACCCCACCCTACTCAATGCCATTAAGGCAGAGCCAGCTCCCAGGAGAAGACTCAGCTGCAGCTGAGCGAGCAGAGAAAATCCTAGCAGTGAACTTGGCCTCCAGGAACTAGCCACTGGTGGGCATAGTGGCCATTCAAGCGTCCAACCACGCAAAAAGAGGAACTCTGCCCTCTTGTCATTCTGAAATACTGTGAAACCGGAGTCAATTCTCCATCATCTACAGGAAACGGGGACTTCCTACTTGGTCAGGACCTTGAACCCTGAATTCATAAAATCTCTTGAGAGCCCCAGGGACAAAGACGTCGTGGACAAAAGCCCTTGGAACTAGAGTAAGTGGCATTTGTCTTGTCTGTCTTGTCAATTATTGTTAAGGACATCCTTGTTTAAAAATATGCATACAACTAAGGTCTCCTCAAAGGTGGGGAATTCTTTGAGCAGTATAGGCAAATGGCTGAGATGGCTGGGTGCTCAAATGTAAAACAGTGTTTTACTAGAAAGGAAGCTTTCTTGAATGATTGGTTTTGGTGACTAAATAAGAAAGTCAGTATCAGGGGACAAGTGGTGTTTTCTGCAGAAACCTATTTGAGAAGAAAGTATTTGCCAAATTTTCTGGGGAAACAGAACATGGTGTTTGGAGTAACTGTAGCACAAAGGAAATATGAATGGGAAAAAAATGTTTGTAATGGAAGGATAATTTGATATTGAACCAATTTCTCTGGAAGACTGGAATCAAGGATCCTCAAAATCAGGACTGCTTTCTTTAAAGGAAGTAAGATTCCTTTGTTGTTGTTGTTGTTGTTGTTGTTGCAGTTTTTGGCCAGGGCCGAGTTTGAACCCACCACCTCCAGCATATGGGGATATGGGGCAGGTGCTCTACTCCTTGAGCCACAGATGCCACCCTCCCACAGCTGGCCAGATGACCTCTCATGAGGCATCCATTCGGTGTTACTAACAAGGACGCAAGTTAGAATTTTGTTCTAAAGATAGAGGAACATGGTGACTCCTTGTAGGAATCTACTTCAACTATTCCTCCATAGGAGTTCCTGGAGGGTCCCAGATTCCAAAAACGTGTTGCACACTCTCCCAGTATTCATACATATGCTGCCCTCAGGCTCACTGACCTTTTAGTTCCTTCAGGGAGCAGCAGGACAGCTCTGGGGACCTGGGCACTAGTGTGCTAGTAAATGTTTAACAACTAATTCTCCTGAAAAAGATCCCCAATTTGTAATGTTTGCTGATTGCCAGGGGTGTAAATACCACACAGTAGTTAATTTCAAGCTACCAACATACAGGCAGTCTCCAGGTGATAAATGAGACAGGTTCTGTAGGCTTGTTCTTAAGTTATAGATATGTTGGAACAGGTACATTTACCCATTACCTTTAATAGCCTCCATTTATAAGTGTTAGTTGTAGGGCAATCAGATGTTTGCAACCTGGGGATGGCCTGGTACTAAACTCAAGTTGGGAAGAAACACACAATCAGCCTTAGGAACCAGTATAAGGTACCAGTGCCTCATGGGGTGGGTGTCTTTCACCATCACAGATGGCCCTTTCTCTGCTCAGGGACTTTACCAATATCCAGGCTGGAGGACATGAGCTCCGGAAGTTTTCCGGCTCCAGGTTACAGTGATGGCAACATGGTCCTTTGGTTTCCCCTTCAATAACTGGGCCCAGGTCATCTCCCCTTAGAAGCACATATCCTAGAGCCGGCATACCCGTAGTCTGGTTCCTGACAAGTGGGGGAAGTTGCAAATGGAGCTGGAGGTGGGGCAGTTTGGAGGAGACTGTTTGAAATGGCACCTACCAATGCTGATTCAACTTGCCTTCCTTCATCTGTGCCAAAATTCCCCAGAAACTAGGCTCAAAGAATCATCCTGGCTCTAGTCCCTCTTGGTGTCTTCAAAGCTATTTGCTGCTTCCACTGTAAACCTGCCAGCCCAGCCAAACGTGCTGACTGCCAAACTGAGCTGTCTGCCGTCACCACCACTAATAGTGGCTGCAGGGTTCAGAAATTGCCAACACAGCTCCACTAGTGCCTGCTAGCCTGGGTTTCTGCTGAAAGGGGGCTGAGGGGGTAGAGACATGTCTGGAGATGGAGGAGTGAGCCATAATAGGGAAGAGTTTGAGGGGAAATGAAAGCCCCTCACTTCCTGCCCTACCAGAATAGCTCCCATTCTGTCTGGTGTCCAGCCCTCCCCATGTGTGCCCTAATTTCCAGTGGTCCCTGCAGAAATGCAAACTTATAAGCAGGAAATATTTGCTAAGGAGAATAGAAGGAAGATCTCTAGAGATCCAAGTTCAAGACAGGAATTATGAAGTAGGTGCTATCTACTTTACTGATTGGTATTTGGGCCAAAACAAATCAGATTGGTGGCAACATATTGAAAATTTCAAAGCGTGGTTCCCACAGAAGGGACTGTCATGGCCCATCATCATCAAGAAAAATCACTTTCTAGATTAACTAGAAAGATCTGGTGGGGGAGTGGATTTGTGGGGTGGGGTACATTGGCCAGCCAGGGACACCCTGGGACATCATAGTACACAGTGGGGACAGGCCTCGAAGAAGGGCTGCTATAAGTAAGGAGGTCTCCTGATATTTCCTGAGGGCCTGGGAACTGCTGGGGCAGGGGCACTTTTCTCCTACTTACCTCACAGTAGCCCTGCAAGGTAAGAGTCACTTCCCCATGTTACAGATGAGACATGAGGCTCAGAGAGGTAGATTAAGTCACTCAAGGTCACAGCTGGTAGGTTACACCCAAGTCTATATGCCTTTTGGGGAGCTGTCTTCAGGAAGCACTCTGAAAGGGGTGTCAAAAAGCAGGGCCTAGAAGAAGTCCTACAAATCAAGCTTCTGAGTGACTTTTTTTGTTTGTTTCCTTTTGTATTAAGACAACCTGTGTAAAAATACCTAAGAGCTTATTTTAGCAGAGTTCCAGCTTCCATTTGATTGCCACATGACCGCACCTCATTGCCCAAGGCCAGTCTTTCTTCCCCTGACTTCCCCACCCCCACCCCACCCCCC